AAGTGCTGATTGCTCAGGCTTCCTGAGATGAACATTCACTTGAAGATGAATGATGATCAGAAGGGAAACTACAGGAATACTGTCCCAAAGAGCACTATCTCCAGGAAGGCACTGGTGGCTGACAGACTGTGGACTTTCTACATGCCATAGCTTCTGTCCTGTACCAGCAAAATAGCCTCATGACTTGAGGCTATTTGTGTTTTGTGTTTTTAAGTTCAATGTCACATTTACCTCCCTTTCGCCAGAATCCAACCCTTAAGGAAGCAAAAAGCAATCAATCAATTAATCAACCAACCAATCAATATCTTATAGTAATCATTAGATTTATTTTTGTAGAAAATTCCTGTTATTAGTGAAAGGGTAACTATCACATTCACATTAAGGAAAATGAATATAGGAAAAGTCACCATCCTAATTCAAGTGTGGTTGGAATTTTGTGTGTATTCCTTTCCCCCTCTTTCCCATAAAAGTACATTATATATACTGATCTAACCAGTTTGTGTTGTGCTTTTTACATTTAACATTGTATCATGCTTACAACATAAGGATCTTTCCATCCTATTAGACTTCATAACCGTCTATTTAAATACATTACCACATATTTAAGGATTTTCAAATATAGTGCTCATTTCACTGTCAGATGTGTCAGGAAAAGTTTTCTGAAGAGTTTGAAAGACAAAAATTCAAGGCACTAAATTTTTTTTGATGTTTCAATTTTTTACTTAAATTCTAGTTAGTTAACATGTAGTGTAATATTAGTTTCAGGAGTAGAATTTAGTGATTCATCATTGACATATAACACCCAGTGCACATCACAACAAGTAAGGCACTTAAATAAGTGCCTTAAGACTCTGTTAAATGTCAGGATTAAAAAACAAGGCTTTGCTAAAAATATACAGATGACCGAGCACATGAATATATGGTCAATAATGGGGTGCCTGGGTGTCTCAGTTAGTTAAGTGTCTGACTTCGGCTCAGGTCATGATCTCATGGTTCGTGGGTTTGAGCCCCACGTCAGGCTCTGTGCTGATGGCTTGGAGCCTGGAGCCTGCTTCGGATTCTGTGTCTCCTTTCTTTCTGCCCCTCCCCTGCTCGTGCTCTGTCTCTCTCTCAAAAATAAATAAACATTAAAAATATTAAAAAAAAAAAGAAGAAGAAAATATGGTCAACATCATCAGTTGTAGGAGAAATTAAAAGCAAAAAGCCTGACAATGCCAGGTGCTGACAAGGATGCAGAATAACTAGATCTCTCAAACTTTGCTAGTTGGATTACAAAATGGTTTGGCCAATTCAACAATAGTTTGAGTTTCTTAAAAGTTAAACATGAACTTGCTACATGACCCAGCAACCCCAATGCTGGGCATTTTCTCAAGAGAAATGAAAGCATATGTCTACACAGACCTCTGTGTGAATGCTTATAGAAACTTTAGTTATAATAGCCAAAAAGTGGAAAAAACTGAAGTCCATCAACTGGTGAACAGATATCCAAATTATGGTACATTCACACCAAGAAATGTTACTCAGCAATAAAAAGCAGCAAACTATGTATAAATGCAATGAAATGGATGAGTCATAAAACGTTATGTTAGGTAAAGAAGCCAGACATAGAAGGTTACTCTGTTACAACACTTGTGACATTCAATTTTTTCCACAATGACCATTTTTCCAACAACTCTCCAGACTAACCTAGGTCCTACAGTTCGATTCAATGCTGACACTAAGTACCTAGAGTTAGTGTCCAATTCCACAGGTTTAAAGCCTCAGTCCCACAAGGCTGTCCTTATTTCAGATTCCAGCCACAAGTCCCAGGTTGTTTACCTGTACCTCTGACCCACTAGCTGTAAGTTGGGAGTTCCCACAACTCTTTTCTCAGGTTTGGTAATTTGCTAGCATGGATCACAGAACTCAGGGAAACACTTTGCTTACGTTTATTGATATATTATAAAGGAGACGACTCAGGAACAGCCAAACGAAAGAGATGCATAGGACGCAATGGATGAGGTATGGTGGGGAGGCGTGGCGTGGAGCTTCCGTGTCTTGTCCGAGCATCCTACCCTCCGAACACCAGCCCGTCAATGTATTCACCAACCAGGGAGCTCTCTAAGCCTTGCAGTTTAGGAGTTTTTATGGAGGTTTCACTGTGTAGGCATGGTTGATTAAATCACTGGCTGTTAGTAATTGAACTTAACTTCCAGCCCCTCCCCTTTCCCCAGAGGTCGTGGGAGAGGGGCTGAAAGTCCCAACCCTCTGATCAAAGCCTTGGTCTTTTTGGAGACCAGTCCCTATCTTGAAGCTATCTAGGGGGTTCTAGACACCAGTTATCTAACTAGAATGCGGAAAACACTCATCACCCAGAAATCCAAGGGTTTTAGGAGCTCTGTACCAGAAACTAGGGACAAAGATGAAATATATATTTCTTATTATGCTAGCTACATACTATGATGTGATTTCATTTACTACCTTCTGGAAAAGGCAAAACTATAGGGGACAGAAATAAGACCAGTGGTTCCCAGGGGATGTAGGGAAGGGAAAGAATGGACTGCAGAGGGGCAAGAGGGAATTACTTTGGCTGTCTGAAATGTTCTATATTGGGGGGGTAGTTATTTATATAGATGCCTTGTCAAAATTCATCAAACTTGAGTCTTATAAAAGAGATTAATTATTGTATGTAAAGTATATCTTAACAAAGATGACTTCAAATAAAAGCATTTTCATCTGTTATCTTCTGTAAATCCCCTGGCCCCAAAGGATGTGACATATACATTATGACTGCTGTGAGGGAATGAAACAAAAATTCCATCAGTGGGTACCTGGTATGACTTCCACACAAATGTCCACTGGCTGTGGTGAGCAGTGCCAATAGAACAAGATTCAGTAGAATTTTTCAGGTGTTTTTAGTCCAAAGCTTCTCTGGTTATCCATGGTTCAGACTGGATGTTTCTCCTCTTTGGGGCCTTATGTGCCTCTCTATCCTCTAGAGTCTGCTGCTTTAATAACTTCTTTTGGCTTCTCTTTACCTTCCTTTTTCTGCTGCTTCTTTGCTTTCTGTTCTTCCGCCACAAGCCGATAATTGATGCCCATGCCAATGAAGAGATAGA